TCTTCTCCCAAAACTATAACATACATCCTGATAACTTAGCATAAATCTTCCTCCTTTTCGACACCGTAAATTCCATACAACTTCGCACTATCGTTTTTCGTTCTAATTAATAACACCAAAGCTTTCCAAATGATACCTTTGATTTCATAAATTACTTTAAATAAATCTTCCAATTTCTCCTTTAATTCACCCAACATGGACGCTGACGTCCCGTACAACACTGAAGAACAAGTCTAGTCCCAAAAACAAGCTTAACAACAAACTGCACATACTTCCAATATCATCACATGATAAATGAATCTATTACAGCTACTCAAAACATTTTTTAAAATGAATCTCATTTCGTTAGCTTTCCAACGCTTCAAATGGAACTCAAATCGAATGCCCAAAACTCTAGTTATGAATTTTTGAAGTCCCACAATAATTCTGCAGTTTCCTGCGATTCGCTTACGGAAATTCCACTATGAAACTCATTTGTCTTCAACTTAGACATATTCCAAACAACTCTTAACATATCTCGTGCTCCCAAACTTATTATAACTCGAGAGATGCATTCCTTCGCCAAAGTTCAGGTTCCAAAACACCAGGGCAACAATTCTTTTCGCAACGCTACTCACTTTTTCAAGTTTCGACTCAGACTCGCGATTTACAACTACTTATCAACGTCAACTACTTCCGACAATCACTTATGTGATCCCAACACAAAAGTTACAACAACTTTATTACTCCATCATTGTTCAAACATCGACATCTTACAATTGCTTCGTAAATCAACAAATATTACATCGCTCTTCATTCTTCGAGAAGTAAGCACCAACAATGTCTGATCAATTTCTCTCAAGGCACTCTAACTCGACTAACAACAAGACCTTGAATCCAAGTCACCTTCAAATTTGGGAACAACAAGACTCCAATAATTCTTGCATTGTCGTCGTCGGCAACACACTGAACCAACACCTTTAAATTGAACATATCCGAGAAGCAAAGCTTCTCCCCCACTTAGCTTCAACCAACTTTCTGCAATTAAGGCAAACAAGTATCGACCGCGTTTCACAAACTTGTCGCGCACTAAGGAACAAACAACATTAGACAACTTGGTCGGATGGACCGACCTGCTCTGATACCACTAATGTAACACCCCATTTTCTACCCGGCGAATAATAAGAAAATCAGAGTTCAACATAAATAGGATGCTACATTTTCAACTAAAAATCAATCTTCATTTAATCGCATACAAACAGATACATAACACTTAACTTGGATGAACCGATAACAATCTGATTTATTCTTCAAAATCAAACAACTTTTTATTGATAAGAAACATAATATACATACTCAACTTCAATTCACTTAACATCTTTTATTCAACTAAAACAACCTCAAGACAACAATTATTTCATGTAATCAACTTAAAAATTCAGCAACTGAAATAATAACCAACAACTAAACATCAAGCATTTATCTCTCTGAGTGCTACATATCCGAGCGACAACACCGACTCGAACTAACAAGGTAATAACTATCCTTCTTGATTACCTGCACGTTACCAACAGAGGGCAACATTCAAATAGAAGGGGTGAGATATCAAACAATATAATTAGTCATATGATAAATAATATATTAAACCAGATCATATAAAATTACCACTTCACAACTTACAAACAACTTTAATCATAATAAAATATCAACACGACATAACTACTAAATTCACAACTTTTAGATAATACTTATCACAACAAGTCAACAACATAAAGCAACAATGAATCTATCTTCACCACAACTCAAGATGCAACATCAAATGCGACTCAATTACCATGCACATGCATGTGATACCATCAGAGCAGAACTCCCAACTTAAGAATTGCCAATTAATAGAGGCATCAACAACGCATAACCCTTCTTCGCAGTTTGCCAACACATGCCTTCACAAAATCTGCCAATACAGACCATCACAGAGTATGCAAATGTATGTGACTAAATGAATGCACCATCATATACTAACAACAATCATCATTCATCGCAAGGCATAAGCCCACATCACCATTATTACCAGTAAATAGAGGTAATTCATCATTATCTAAAATCTCCACAACTTCACATTATCAGCAAGAATTCACAGAGACAGTCACAACAACACAACATCTCAACATTGGCCATAGGCCTGCAACGTAATATGCCCATAAACAGAGGCAATTCAACAAAATTCATCATCACCTGTAATTTCATATTTTTTAGCAAGGTATACAACACAATTCCATAAATCAGAACCATTCAACTTAATTCGAATTCACCTGTAAATCAACTTTATTCTACATAATTCTAACAAAACAAACAAACTAAAAATACCCATATGTATATACGACTCACTCTGACAATTTCAACTAATTCCGATTAACTACTTTTACCGCCTAAATCTACAAATTCGGCTAATCGGTATTATTTTATATATTGTTATTACTACTATTTATTTATACTGCTACTAATCAATTTATTCTACTAAATTACGCTACCTCTGTTATTTAGCTTACTGTTATTATTGGTCTCCGCTGAAACTACTTGTTTGCTATCTACAACTTCTATTACTACAACTTCCTGCCAGTGACAAATATTAGTTATAAACCAAAACCAATTTCAACTTATTCCTCCTGTTACTGAAATTCTCCGTTATACTTTCTGTATGATAATTTGCAATTTCTACATCTACTGATACTTCCTAATAATGCTCAGCTAAATTAGTCCATACACTATTATTTCTGCTACTCTTACATATACATCTTGCTATTCATTTGACTAAAGCATTACAATTTATTCCTGCAACTTCTTTAATCCAATCTGATACTAAATTATTTTACTAATTATATTAACTTATTAATAATATAAGATATGACATAGTCTTTCCACCACACCTATATGTTCTTCCGAGTCTCATCTCAAGACAACAACTCAATAATAGCCATAACAACATCATAACAGAAATACGATTTAAATAAATTGCAGAACAACTTTATCAACACATTATGAACATCCACTGACAACTAAAATTGCAGAACTAGTAATCTTCACAAAATCACAATATAATCGAATCGACAACAATTCATGGCACAAATTTATACAACCCAACTCCACATATGGTTTATCATATATCCGGTTATAGAGATTGAACCCCACTCTTACCTGGTTTGAATTGAAGGTAACTCTAAAGGTCTCCGATTGAATCTCCTCTTGGCCGCTTGGTGTAACTTCCACGTATCCCTCCTCTTTTCCTCAAAATCCTTATTTTTCTCTTCTCTGCAACTTCTCTTGTACCAAAACCTTCCAAGATTTTTTCTTCTCTAGATCAGAATCAAAGCTGAAAATTTTCCCAAATATACAACTACAGTGCAATGATGATATCTCCCAACTCAGACGTTATTTTGAAGATCTCAACGGTCAAAAGTTAGATGTAGGTGTTGCGAACCTACGCTCAAAATTTGAGCATGATCCAACGGTTAACGGATAAGAGATTATCGATTTAGTGAGACTGCTGCAATAATAACGGGAATGAGTTTCTTCCATCTATTCTCTCACTTTTTCTGAATTAACCTAATTCCTTTTATATCCACTTAACCTTGTAGTTCTAGTAATTCTTATTGGGCCAATATCCACACTCCCATATTTACTACATGACATCATTTAAATAAGCCCAACAATTAATCTTATAATGCTCCAATGTATCTAATATTATTAAACCACCATTTAATCAAATAATCTCACAGAGCAACTTAACAATAATTCACAACATCGCTCAACTCCAACTAATAATTTTAATTAAATAATTAATTAAATTATCGGGGCGTTACATTGATCACCAAGACATTATCAAACAACAGGTTCTTCCATTAGTTGCAGTTGATAAGACTACATGATGATACCTAGTTCGTTTCCTAGTTCGAAGTTTATTCCAAGTTGGAGATTTATAGCTTATTGGTTATAAACTAGCAAACTCAATAGTTGTCAAAGTATCTTAGTTTGTTAGCATGTCGAAGTGTGCTAGTTTGTTAGCTATCGAAATATGTTAGTATATGCTAGTTTGTTAGTTTTTTTTTATAAATAACATACTCTCCCTCACTTCTCTGTATGAAAGTAGTGTGATTGAGATTCAATTGTCAATATTTTTCCTCTACGTATAATTGAATCAAGAATTCAGTTTTACCAATTTCTACTCGTTTCTCTCCTCTTCTTTCTCTAGGTTTTCTTGTTCATAAATTTTTTTTCTCATAAACTCTATTATTGGCATTGATTCACCACAAAAACTAGTCAATCGTTAACACATCATTAGATACAATTCAATGAATATGAAGAATATAGAGCAAGCATTTGCCGCACAAATCATGTTTTCAAAGGAAGATATTAGAGAAAAGATGAATTAACTGATCACATATGTTGTATGTTTACAACTATATTTGAATAGATGTTCTCAAAATGAAGAAACAATGCATGTGCAATGCTTGTTGTTTACAACTCTATTTGAATGAATATACTCAAGATGAAGAAACAATGCATTGGTGGTTTGCAGCAAGGTGAATTGATGGCATTGCATAGCATCTTGATTTTAGTTGTAGTTGAAATCCCACATCGTTTTCTCAAAAAAAAAAAAAAACTTTAGTCTTGATATAGATTTAAAAAACACAATTTAATGAGCACTTGTGAGTTTGTGAGTTTGTGAGTTAGAGAGAATTTGCAAAGATTTGAGCCTTAGTCTAGAATTTTTTTTTAAAATTTATATTAAATAATTTCTAAATAAACTTAAATAAAATAAATTGGATGTGACTAACCAAAAACTTATTATTAAAATTGAGAACTTAAAGTTAAATTATTATTATTACTGTATTAGGTTACATGACTTACTATTATTGATTATTCATGGTTTATTATAAAAAATAATTATTCCTTTTCAAACATAAATCCCAAGATATTTCTCTCTCTCTCTCTCTCTCTCTCTCTCTTGAGTAGTGAAATCAATGGCGTCGCGAGACAACAAGAAGGCATCAAACAGTCGAACCGGCAGAATCCGCACGCTCTCCGATCTGAACCGACCATCCGCCGATTCCGACAGCGACTCCGATGGTCCTCAGGAGTATTACACCGGCGGCGAGAAAAGGTTCTATTTTTTCTCCCTCTCACTATCTCTCCCAACTTTCCGATTCCTTTGCGCGTTTGATTCACTTTTGCCCTAATGGGTAGTCGCTACTGCTTCTATTCAATTCAATTCATATCATAATCATGCTTTAGTTGTTTGAGCTACATATTGTACTATTTATGGGAATTAGTTATCATGGTTGAAGAATCTAGGGTAATTATTGAAGTTATAGTTTACAATTTTTTTTGGTGTGAATTGAAACATTGGTAATTATTGAATTGGGGGAAATTGTGCTGATCTCTCTAACTTTCTACGATTGTGAATTCCTTGATGTGTGTGATTTGATAACCCCTTTCCCCCAATTGCTATTGTCTAAGTTATTCATTCCGTTAAACTTTGTTGCATACTGCATGATATTACAGGAAAACCCTTCCATGAAGATAAGTGATAACAATTCATGTTATTATTGTTGTAATTGTACAATTGCAAAGTTCATTCGGATTTTTCTCAAAACGTTTTTAGGTGGAAGCATTTGAAAACTTACCCTAGGGGATTTTAAAATGTTGAAGTTATGTTTTGGATGTGCTCCTTCAAACTTTTATTACTTCAAAACTAATTTTGATTGTGCTTTGTATAGTTCAAACCCATTTAGATCAGATTTAGGTCAACTTGTTAAAGAACCAGAGGAGTAGACAAAAGCTATCAAAGTGACGTGTTTTTGTCATTCCTTCGGTTTAAATAGCAACTTTCTCTTTGCTCTTCCTGGTTAATGACAATGTTCTTATGGATTGCAAGTACCTTTTGAGGTCTTCAATGTCTTACTCCTACGCATAGCTTTATATGATGACATTAGAGTTGCTGTCTTGATTGGTTAAACGGTTTTAAGTTCACAAGATTTGAACTTATTAGACTACATAGCTTAATGTTTTTTTTTTTGCTTTGAATTCGTATGTGTAAAGAGACACTTATAAGTGGCGGCAATCCTTCTTACATGTTGGTTTTGTAGGAATGAGTTAGGCTCAAATCAAATTTTAAGATGGTATCAGAACTAGGCTTAAGATACGGTGGGTCTCTTCCTCTCAGATTTTTGCTATCGGGCCACCCACCATTTATTTCCATGTTCCTGGGCGTGAGTGGGTGTGTTAAGAGGCCACCCACCATTTATTTCCACGTTCCTGGGCGTGAGTGGGTGTGTTAAGAGACACTTATAAGTGGGGGCAATCCTAAAACCTTACAAGCCGGTTTTGTACGGATGAGTTAGGCCCAACCCAAATTCTAAGAATATCATTACATTATATGAAGTAAATAGTCAAAAATTAACTTTTAAGCGATGATCTGGTGTCTACGGGGTTTTTTCAGATTTGGTGTTTTCTGGCCAGCGTCTTCACATGCAGAGAAGCAAGAAAGAAGAAAGAGGATACAAGAAAAGGAGGACTGTGACGTCAGATGTGCAAGCTTGTGTGAGTTGATGTTGAAGGTGGCTGATGGGACAGAGAATGAGCTAGGTTTTTTTTCTATTTTTATGAAATGGAGGAGTGAGAACAACTTTGCCCCTTTAAGCTCAAAAGGCTTCACTGCATTTTTTCACTCCACAATAGTCTGCAAGCATGCATCTATATACTTAAATAATTAATTTAATATAAATTATTTTTATGTGATGCAAAGGTACTACTCAAGCTGAAGGGAAAGTTTTATCGGACTGCGATAAGACCTACGATTTTGTACGGGATAAAATGTTGGGCGGTTAAAAATCAACACGGGAATAAAGTAAGTGTATCAGAGATAAGGATGTTGCGGTGGATGTGTGATAAGACTCGTAGGATAAAATTAGAAATGGAGATATTAGAGAGTGTCGGGGTAGCGTCTATAGTAGAGAAGATAGTGGAAAATAGACTTAAGTAGTTTGGGCATGTAGAGAGAAGACCTGTAAATTTTGTAGGAAGTAGAGTAGACTAGATGAAGAGAAGACAAACAATTCGAGGAAGAGGAAGACTCAAAGACTATAAGAGAAGTTATTGAGAAAGATCTCGAGATTAATTATTTGTATAGAAACATGGTCCTTGATAGAACATATTGGCGAAAGTTGATCCATGTAGCCGATCCCACCTAGTGGGATAAGGCTTATTTGTTGTTGTTGTTGTATTTTGTATGAAAGAATTATTTAGTATTAATAGTTTATTAAAGAAGTAGATTAGCATCCTTGGTGCTGTCCTGCTTTTGGGTCAACTGCTCCGCGTCTATATCCGAGACTGACAAGATAGGTAATACGAGATTATGCATTTGTAATCTACTCCATTCAATTAACCATTGTTACTTCCAAACGTAGTAAATGGGATCCCAACCCTTTCCTAATTAAAATTTTTAACAATAATGATTCCGTTCCACTATCTGATTTCCAACCATTCCATTTCACCCCTTTCTAAATGGACAATTTTACTTTACTTTTCTAGAACCTCAAGCACCTGTTAGTGAAAAGGTCTCTTTGACTAGCTTGATTGAAAGTGTTCAAATTTTGTACATTGAAAGTTGGTTTTTGAAAGGCTATCCACACGTTGATTAAATAAGTATCTGCAATCATGTTTTCTAAACTTTTAAGTTTAATATACACTGAAAAGCTTATTGCTGTCTCACTTGTTCTGCACAAGATTTACAAATAAATACATAAATGAGTAAATGTTTGTTTAGTTTGTTTTATGATTTGTTGCTTTTCTGTTGATCGTGTAATAATTTCACATTATTTCTCCAGTGGAATGCTTGTCCAGGACCCTTCCAAAGGAAATGATGTGGATGCAATTTTCAACCAAGCTAGGCAACTTGGAGCTGTAGAAAGGCCTCTTGATCAGCTTCAAGAACCTCCAAGGTCAACAAGCTTTGCTGGAACTGGCAGGTTACTCTCGGGGGAAACTGTACAGAATGCTTCTAACTCTCAGCAACCTGAGTCTGTTGTTCACAACATTGTTTTTTGGAGTAACGGTTTCACCGTAAATGACGGACCTTTGAGGAGATTGGATGATCCTGCAAATGCCTCATTTTTGGAGGTACTGCATTAAGATTCTTATTCTGCTAATAGATTAGAGGGTGGAAAATATTGGGAATAATGAGGTTGTTTACCCAAATAGACTACACCCGAGTATTAGAAAATTGAGGTTTTTTAGTCAATATTCAGGGAACAATGGAATATCTCAACAAATTTCACTTATATCTTCACTTTTTTAATTAAATTTTCTCTGAAGGTCATCTTATTTTGTAAGTTATCTATAAGTTGCCTTTATAATCTCTTGACAAGACTACTATCTAAGAATGTCCATGATATGTGTTTGGGAAACTATTACTTTCTTGATGGTTATATCAATGCTTTTATTTATTGTGTTTAATGATATTTGCTATTTTTGAATGCAGAGCATTAAAAAATCTGAATGCCCCAAAGAGCTTGAGCCCGCAGATAGGAGGTCAGCTGTAAATGTAAACCTCATAAGGAGGAATGAGAACTATCGTGTGAGTTTTCTGTTTGAGTTCTTTGGTTTGTATTTGTCCAATTTAGGGTCTGTGTGAGTTTTTTGTTTGAGTTCTCTGGTTTGTATTTGTCCAATTTGGGGTCTGTTTAGATAGACTTATTTGAATTTATTTACTTACATAAGCACTACGCCCGTTTAAGAAGACATATGGAAACCAGAGTAGTCAATAGCGGTGCAGAACACTATAGTGGCCGCTGTAGGGTAAATAGCGTGATATCGGAGCAGAGTGGCTCCCAGTCCAGAGCGGTTTCTAGCCCGCTATCCTTTTCCCCTCTAAAAAACCGAAATTACCCCTTAAATTTAACGTTTAAAGGATAATTTTGGATTTTTTCAATAAAATTTAAATTGAGACTCAACCTTAACTTTTCTTCATAGTCATTTATGCACTTAAAGAGTCATGTGTGCTTTGATTTATGAATATTATATGAGTCGAGTCAATTGTTTAATTTTACATTTAATAGATGTTTACAATTATTATATGTAATTTTTCCAAAAAATGATCAAGTAGAGCGGTCATCCCGCAGTACACTATCCCGCATTCCACTTTTGGGGTCAGCTACTCCGCGCCACTATCTGGGAATGACTACTCTGATGGAAACAGCTTATGATATTTCCATAAGTTGTTTTCAGATTATTTTTATAGGTTCTATGAGAACAGCTTTAGATTATATAAAAACAGTGTGACTTTATTTTTTATTGTTATAGAACCTGTATATACCTAAGAACTTTAGATTATACATAAGAACTTGTATGATAAATGCTTTAGTGTTAGATGTTTATCCAAATAGAACCTTACTATGAAACAAAGTCCAGTCCGGTGTTGTTATTATATTATTATATCCAAAATCACACATTTCCAACTTATATATAGTAAGTTCTCCTTGTCACTGCAACAGGAACCAGAAAGGGCCCAAGTTTCATTTCAGGGAGTGGGAAGAACACTTGGAAGCAGCTCCAATTCAGTGGCACCTGAGCCAAATGTTGCATCGACAGCGCCTCTCATCTCCGCTCCACCCCCTTCTGCCGGTCTTGTGGTTGACCAGTCATTGCCATCAACCTCAATACAGCTCAGGTTAGCTGATGGAACCCGATTGATATCACATTTCAATAATCACCACACAATCGGCGAAATCCGTGCCTTCATTGATGCATCTAGACCTGGCGGTCGGCAGGGTTATCAACTCCAGATGATGGGTTTCCCCCCAAAGGTTCTAGCTGATGAAACACAGACTATAGAGCAAGCAGGATTGGCAAATTCAGTTGTCATACAGAAATTTTAGCATGCTTATGCTTTAAAGTCCTTTTTCATTACTTGCTATAAGCTGCATAGAAATGAAGAACTAAAACAAATAGGAAACCCCCTCTTTTGAGGGGATATTTTCTTTTTGCTCAATCTTTATCATGTACTCTATTTGCTTTAGGATCAGTTGGGTGGCTTAGCTTTGGACTTATTATGTATTATGATATGAATCATGATTGTGTTGTGTGTTCTTACTAGCTGGGCCTAATGACTGGATTCGATATTTGATAATTTGGTTCTTAAAGATTAATAGTTTACAGGTTTTAATTTTTTTTACCAAGCAAATATGTTATTTTTGTTGCATTTGGTGGTCATTCTAATACAATGTTGTTTTTAGTCTTTGCAAACAATGTTATTTTGATGCATTTGACCAGACATTTATTGCTTTTGAATAATAGAGAAATAATTAATTATATTAAAACTAATAAAATTTACTTAATGTCAAGATAAATTTGTAAAAAACTATAAAAGTAACAACTATACAATGAGGAACTATATATAGTAGTGCTATTGAAACTAAGATGCAATAAAAAAAAGAACATAATAGTGAAATAACTAATGTTTAGTATCATTATAGAAGAAGTACATGGAATTTATTGTAATGCGAAGCTCGATCTTAAAGATGAGAAAGTGTAAAAACAAACTTGCATGCTTTCTTCTATCATTTTTTTAAAGTTTTTTTTTAATATTTATACTCTCTTAGTGTTAAGAGAGTGAAAAGTTCTATTTGAGAGTTGTGAGTTGTGTTTTATTGATGTGTTGAAATTGTTTATTCAAGAGCAATAACTAAATATAAATAATGATGGATCATATCGGTAAGCTATGAACTTTGCGTTCGAGGATGAAATCCTCCTAGAAGTGTTAGAATGACAGTTCTCGCACCTAGCGAAATATTAAATAAATTATTACTAGATATAAAGTGGCTCTACGAAAGTTGTAAGTTAAACCTTAAAAAATTGGATAAATTTTTATTGATTATGAGCCTTTATAAAAGCTCTAGTTGATGTTGAAAAGTTATGGAGGTTGCTCTTTCCATCCTTAAGTGTATATTTCACATTTTCAAATTTGAAAATATCTTTCAAGCATTTGAAGATGTATCTACGAACGCATCAAAAATCACACTAAGAAGCGATATTCTAAAATCCATTCCATTTTGAATAAAATATAGTCCAGAGATGCATATCTGTATGTTATTTGTGTACATTCGGAGATACATTTTTAGAATGTCTCATGAATGATTTCAGGACAAAATCCTTGTCCCAACATTGTATTTTTTTAAAGCAAAGTTATTTTAAAGTAAATTTAAATAATATTAAACTCTAATAAAAGTTAAATAGTCATACATTAATTAAAACTCAAGACCGTACATAACATTTGATCGAAAATAAAGAAAAATACATCCAAACATAATCCACTGGATATGTCTAACCTCCTACGCTCTCCTCCACTTGTACTTACGAAATTATGTAACTCGACAATCATGTTCTCCACGGAGGACAATTGGAGACAGTCACCCTCATAGAGTCTCGACACAATGTCTGTTATACCCATCTCAACAACACGCCGATAGACCGCCGTCACATCCTCGATGTGGTCATCCTGAGCCTAAAGTCTCTTGGTTACCTCGCCTAGGTGATCTTCCAAGAGCGCCTGGTGTCATGATAGGGCGTGACTTCCTATAGAATCATATCATGTAGCCCTCAACATAAGCCCACTGAATAGAAACAAGCTCCCGACGATACTCCTATGGTACCAAGTGACTATCAAAATCATCCAATATCGCATTAAGATCTCTAATGCAGACACCGAAAGGAGCATACTCATAGGGAGATCTCAGGATAATCTATAAGTAGCCAAACTAGCGCATCACTTGCTCGGGCATATAAGGATACATAAGATATGACCCACATATGCCAGTCATCTGAAGTATAAGGAATGACGTCAAACAAACGTGTCTCGCGGTGACCCTCATATGGACCGAAACAAACATCATTTAGTACGATACGGTCAAGAGAGACTCTGAATGGATCAACCACACTATTCCCCATGTACAGAACAAATGCAACTGCACGTGGCCATTCCTCATCGTAGGTAGGTGCATCTTTCCACCCGGTATTGCAAAGAAAGTGGGAGATGATCCATCCTTGAAAATAGTTCAGATACAATATTAATAACAAGTGTAAAAAATGAATTATGAAAATATTAGTAACAAAAACTTAACGTAAGTAGTGTGAAGATCCCTATCATCTGCTTTGTCTTCCAAAGACAACTCTCGTTAAGCTTATAGTACAGGTAGACCAAACAGACAACCCCCAGTTATACTCGTGAATTAAAGTCGGTTCGACGAAGTACTTAAGGTAGACCACATCAATATAGGTTGCACCTTTTCCCACAAGCATGGACGTGCCAACCAAGAACAAGAGGTAACACCTAAATTTTTAATGTCGGTGGTACTCAACCTGCATATCATCTCCTACAAAATCCAGGGCCCATTGTAGATGTTTTTTATAAATATTTTTAAAAAATCTAAACCTAGCATGAACACCTCTAGTGTCACGTGCCTCATGTGCGGCCTTAGCTGGGTCAACCCCGAAATGGGTGACTATCATATCAATGATTTTTTCTCGCTTGATCCTCCCGTGGTTTAGTAATATCCCCTTGAAGGGAAGATGCATGAGGCATAGTGTTAGACGACGTCGCGTATCTAGAGGGGGGGGGGGGGGGGGGTGAATAGAGGCGCAAAAAATATTTCTAGACACAAATCTAGAATTTAATTTGTTTTTAAAACTTTTGACGCATAAGCAATTAATTGGATAAGTCGTCTAAAAACAACTTATTGGAAACTCGAATATACAAATTATGAAAGATAAATCTATGAGACAAAATTGAGTAATTTATTAATACTAACTCAAATCAACAATCAACTTATTTATTGTTTGAACACAATCACTTTGTAAAACTATTTCCAAGGCTAAATAATCAAAGAACTAACTTGATCGTTTTATCAAACACTTAGCGTGCACATGAATTTTTAGAATTTCTCTTTGAGTAGTGTTGATATACAAAACCACTTATAATTAAAATTGATTATAAGCTATATCCACACCTATTTCAACAACAGATTTTGAGAGAAAAATTCTTACAATTCAATTGCTATCACAATGTTATTTGATAAAAGATTGATGAAATTCAAAGCAAGTAAAAGCGGAAAAATAAAAATACACAAGGAATTTGTCTACACAGTTCTCCACTGTCGTCCTCGCGTGTGAGTATGTCTCCTCCTAATTCTAATGGAACTAATAATTTTTATATGCAAAATGTTTAATACAATGGAAGAGTTAGAAATAACAATATTTGATGTTATGATCCTTCTTCCAACCTTTGATCTTAAGCAAGATCAAATCAACTGATAGATGCAACCTATTCGCTGCTTAAGCTACTTCTTTAAAAGGATTTCAAACACCCCAAGGTTCCTTGCAAATATTTCAACCACTCCAAAGGATTTTTCACTCGAGTAAATCCGATTGCAAACTATCAACACAAGATCACCGATTCTATCATCCAATTCTTGCTACTTTCTTAAAAAGATTTCAACCACTCCAAAGTTCCTTGAAAAGATTTCAAACACTCCAAGGGATTTTTCACATGGACAATTCCTTCTCGCACGATCTTGCATGAAAACCCCCAATTAGAACTCAACCCAAACCAATTAGAAATCTTCAATTCTTCGTCTAGATGGCACCCTGACAGAACATCATCACAATGTAATATTGGTGTGCATGCATAGATTAGAAGGTTGAAGATGAAGAGAAAAAGTAGGCTAATTTTATGGTATCATCAAGTTAGAAATGATGCATGAATGGGTATTTATAGTTTGGAAAAGTTTAGGTCAAAAAGGGAAATTTTGGAATAAAAGAAAATGAAAATTTGACAATTTTTTTTTTATGTGTCGATCTCAAAATCGTATGTATCGACACATACTTTATAAAAAGGCTGCATGTGTCGACCTGAAGGACTCTATGTGTTGACCTGGGCAAGTCAGTAGCTACAGGATTTAAAGCGTGAGTAAATGCGTCGACCTAAAAAATGGATGTGTCGACACATAAAATAAGAATTTATGCAATTTCATAAATCTTTCAGTATGCGTCGACCCGTGACTTACAGAAACTCACATGCTTTAAAAAGAAGTTATATGTGTCGACCTGAAACTCGAATGTGTCGACACATGCAGGACAAAAACGTGCAAAAAGTGTTTTTCAATGAGTTTGGTCAACTTCAAAGTGCTTTTTGATGGTTCCTAAGACTTATGATGCAAAGGAGTACCATAAGACAAAGAGGTACAATTAATTTTACCGTTGTGCCATCTTTCCCATTTTGACATCATGCAAACACCGCATATTGAGTTATACTCACAAACTCCCTCTTATTTATGATGACAAAACTCTCAACGATGCATTACAAAGGCCCCCCCTGTCTTTATGTTTCCTATCATTATCTCACATATGCTTCTCCCTCTTTAACAATATAAAAAAGAAGATAACAACCGATTAGAAGTACCAAAGTTTTCAAACAATTAACAAATACCAAACAGAGGCAATTTTTGCATATAAGAGCAACAATTACATATATCCATATATATGTAATGATGCAAACATTTAAATAATAAGCAGCACACATCACAACAAATGTAATTCAAAAGAAATGAAAATCAATTTGAGCGTCATGATCATGTAACATTTCATAATGGAGCTCCCGATGTTGCACACACATGTGCCAACCATAGCAACAACATAGTATCACTACTAACACCAAAATGAAAAATGTTTATTAAACAAAGTAACTATGACAACATGAACCATACATTGCAAAATAAAATAAGGGAAATAACCACAACACATGCTTTGCATATTGAGAACAAATCTATACAAATATGAAAGAATTAATACATGAAGTCATTGTAAGCATATAGAACAAGAACAC